AGGCTGATCCAAACTGTCAGGAATTCACTGAACTGGCTTGTCAATAAAGCTCGATCAGGGAAATTTTCTGTTCTATTGTCATTTATTTATTTATTTATTTATCTATCGATTTATATCCTGTCTTTTTCCCTACAAAGGGCTCAAGGCAGCTCACATCTCCTCCTCCATCTTATCCCCACAACAACAACCCTGTGAGGTAGGTTGGGCTGAGAGTCTGTGACTGGCCCAAGGTCACCCAGTTGGCTCCATGGCCGAGCGGGGACTCGAACCCGGATCGCCTGAGTCCCAGTCCCAGACTCTTAACCACTACACCACACTGGCTCTCCAAGAAAAGGCATTTCTGATTGGTTTAGAGTACTGTTTAGTCTATGAAGACATCAAGATGTTATTATGTTAACATTATCTGGAAACCTAATACTCTGTATGTGACTGGAAGGTTATAAAAATGTCTGTACATGGGCTGTGATTGTGTAGTTGGCGGTGGAGACCACTAACCGGGAGTGTGCTGTCGAACCGCCAGGAGCCTGGGTGATCTCGCCAATAAAAGTGCCGGGGTTCAAGGCGATTCCATCTTCCCTGCGGGTCCCAGTGTTCATTCTCACCATTGGTAAGGAGACCCTGACAGCACACATGCTGTTAAAGCCAATCAATCTTTTAGGGGAAAGTCTATGAGCCCTTTCTTAAAATGTTTGCATCTGCAAATGAGTCCATCTATAAAAGCCTGCGGCAACTCAGTCCTGCGTGCATTTACCTGGCAGCCGGCCTGGCCATTTGGGTCCCTGGCACACAAGCATTTCAGATGAAAGCACATAAACGAAGTTCTCACACACTGCAGCAGGCACACCACGCTTCAAATCAGGGCCTGTCTGCTGACAAAAATGGTGCTCCTTCCAACCCTCCTCCAAACAGGAGGAAAAGAGGAACATACTTCAGTGAGTGGGAACATGTGAACTGACCCTCTTATGGGCGAGACAACCGAATCAACTGATGGTGATATCGGAAGGTTGATCCCAGTGGTTGCAAGTCCTTCCTTTCAGCTCTCCACTCAGCATCATGGGCACCAATCAATTCAGACCAAGGGCTAGATTTTGTCTGGAGGCGCCTTCAGGGGCTACATCCCACAGAAGGGCAAAAAGATCAGTCTGTCTGGGCAAGCTCAGCCTTTGGAGAAGTATTTAAAGGTCTCAGAACAGAAAAGAACAGAAAAAGGTGGGAAACGGCTGGTGGCTGGGGAAACGGGGCTTCAGATCCTGGTGGGCAATATCTTATTTATGTAGCTATTATTTATTTAATTAGGCATGACAAGGATGACAAGGCAGGGAGCTCATTCTACAAATGAGGGGAGGACCACTAAGAAGAGCTGCCCTCATCCTGCTGCCATTGGAGTCCCCCAGGGAGTGTTACTTAGATTTTAAAAAAGAGTTTGCAAGTACAAAATTGAGGATAAGAAGCCACATATTATTTGGACTAAAACAAAAAACCTCGCCATAGGCCATCTCAGCAAAAATACAGAAAAATTCACTGAACATCATCCCACTGGGAGATGTCCCATCAGCCTTTGTCATATCTGTGGACAGAAGGCCTGTCAGGTTCAGAGAAGCGCCTTTCTTGTAGTCAGAAACCAGCATGTGCAAGTTTTCCAGAAGTGCCTTTAAGAGACTCAGTCTTATTGCGAAGAAGGAAATGCCGACTGGTCCAAAATAAGCATGGCTCTCAGTTTTTGGTGGACAAGAAGCCCAGCTCTGTGCCAGGAAATGTCTGGTGTTTTGCTTCAAGCAGAATATTATTTATTTATTTAATTGCATTTGTAGCCCTCCCCATGGCCAGAAGACTCTCTGGGTGGCTCACAGCTCAATCATAAAAAATAATACAGATAAAATAGATGACAATAATAATTAAAACCGTAAACCATAATCAAATAGAAATGCAATATAAATACAACAGGAGTGTGCACACACAAAAAGTGTTGTAAGCCATCCTGAGACATTGTCGTAAAGGACGGCATAGAAATGTTTTAAATAAATAAATAAAATAATAAAGCAATAACAATCAACCAGCAGAAAGACTCATAGTCATAATCTAAAAACAGATACTTAATGATACTGTGGGCTCTAGTGGCAGAGCCAATGGGGAGTTGTCCACTCCTGCGTTAAGGACTTTTCATGTTCATTAAACTCAGTTTGCTGGAAAACTCCCAAAAATCCACAGGGGTGAAACAATGGCTGGGCAATTATATTAGTGCAAAGAGAGAGCCGCCACAATGGGCAGAAAGGCAGCCCCAGAATGAGTTACAGTCCCCGAAACACGATACAACGTGTCCAAACATGGGCAGGATTGCACCCATAATACATTTTTGTGATAGGCACTGCGATCAGTGTGGCTGCCCATAATCCATAAAACCCAGAGGATTACGGTCATCCTCTGGTGGACGGAGGGACTGCAGAAGGGATGGTCACCTTAGGTCTCATTAATAGCACAACCCAGTGGATGTTCAGACCGGAAAACACCCTACAGTGGAAAAAAGGACTACAGAAACTCTCCCCCTAGAACTGGGGAATGTTGGGAGCTGAAAGGTTATTAACCATTTAGTGGGGTAACCATTAGCGGGGAATCATTGGGATGGCAGCCAGGGACAAGCGGGGTCCCCCAGGGCTCTGTCCTGGGGCCAATCCTGTTTACTCTTTTCATTAACAACATGGAAGAAGGGGTGAACAGTCTGCTGATCACATTCGCAGACGACACTAAAACCGGGGCCACAACTGAGGAGCAGGTACTCCAGATCCAAAAGGATCTGGACAGACTATGGAAGTGGGCAGGAGACAACAGGATGGCGTTCAGTGTGGATAAGTGCAAGGTCTTTCACTTGGGGCATAGGAATGGGTGTCATAAGTACAGGTTAGGGGACAAGTGGCTGGAGAGCAGCACTTGTGAAAGGGACCTCGGGGTGTTGGTCGACTGCAGGCTGAACATGAGCCAGCCGTGTGATGCGGTGGCCAAGAGGGCGAACGCCACCCTTGGTTGCATAGCCAGAAGCGTGGCTTCTAGATCGAGAGGGGTATTGCTACCACTTTATATGACTCTGGTGCGCCCGCAACTGGAGTATTGTGCTCAGTTCTGGGCCCCTCATTACAGAAAGAATATAGCCAGGTTGGAGTCAGTGCAGCGCAGGGCCACAAGGTTGGTGGCCGGTTTGCAGGGGATGCCGTATGAGGCGAGACTGAGGGAACTGGGTCTCTTCAGCCTGGAGAAGAGGAGACTCAGGGGGGATCTGTTGGCGACATACAGGTATGTGAGGGGGTGTCACATGGAGGTGGGTAGAGACCTGTTCTCCCCTGCAGAGGAAGGCAGGACCAGCTCCAACACAGCCAAGCTCAGGGAACCCAGGTTCCATTTAGATACCAGGAAGCACTTCCTGACGGTCGGGACCCCTGAGGGTGTGGAATGGGCTTCCATGAGAGGTCGTTGAGGCCCCATT